TACTAGGAACAAGAAGCTTCTAGAAACAAGTGCAACGCTAGTAGTAATTTGATCTGTGCGCTTTTGTCGACATAACAGATCTTGTCTCAGCGTTCTCGATTCTCCTTCATTGGTGTGGAGGGTCAAGCACAATTTGCACTCGTAGCTGCCAAGGTGATTGCGCAAAAAGTACGGATCCTGAAAAGTCTGTCACGGGAAGAAAAATATACATTCCATCAAAATGATTCAGCAAACCATTTCAACAAGAATTTGCTTAACACATTGAAAGATTTAGCCAACTGGAAAGCAAGAATCACAATCATCTAATATAGTTAAGTTTCCCCAAAAATCTAGGAACCAAATCATTAGTGCGAGCGCTTCTTCAAGGAAGCTTCCCCGCTGCCCTGGCGGAGTTTCCTTGAAGAAGCGCAAGCTATCCTGCGTCCAGTTAGTAGCTATTTAAACTACTAGCTACCTAGCTACTAGCTACCTAGCTACTAGCTACCTAGCTACCTCCTAGCGGCCTACCCCCCTTTATTAAAAAAACATATGAAATATGTAATAATTCTATTGTCTTTCTCCACGCTTGACACGGAATCAGGTCACCTTCGAAAGGTCAATAGTCTCTAGCGCAAGCTTTCGAAGCCGCTCCCGCCTGCAAACAAACGGTCTTTTTAACAGTTCCTGTCGTTCACACTTGTTTCAACGACCTAAAACACAAATTTGAATCACAACGACAGCAAATCTTGCAACAAAGTTATTCACCTTTACACTCTAAGACGCACTTGAAGGACACTAGCTTCTTTCTTCAAGTGAAACGCACTTACACCAAGAAAAGAAAAAGAATAAAGAGAAGAAAGAGGGTTGGCAAACTTGGGAACTAAAGGTCGTTCCTGTCGGCAGCAATTTCCTGGTCGGTTGCCGGACCTCCAATCAGCAATCTGAAGTGTCAAAGGACCCCGTGAGCAATGGAGCCCCCAGTAGCGTCCTTGCTCCTAGTAGTAAGGCCAGGAGCCCCCAGTAGCTTCTTGTTACTACTAGTAAGGCACTTGTTACTACTAGCGATGCACTTGCTCCTAGCGTCCGATCGCTCGTAGCGGTGCCCACCTGCTGTGCCAAATTTGTGACCAACACGATTTTGAAAATCCATCGATCCTGTGCACGACTACGCCTCTTCCCCTCGGAGCGGAACAAGCATAGCGAGTCTTGCTAACAAGCAAGCGTCCGATCGCTCCTAGTAACGATGCCCTTTGTTTCTAGTAATTAGCTTCTTGTTAGTGGCCTCCACCCACCTCCACCGTGCGTAGCGCCCTAGAAATGCCTAGTAGCGCCTAGTTGGAAAACTCGTGTCTCAAATCCGTCCTCACCGTAGTGCTCTTTTCACGGTGCGGGTGCGGTTCCCCAACCGCGGCACCACCGGCCCAATCAGCTGAAATGATTTCGGCAGATCTCTGAAAACATGTTCCGTTCGTAGCAATGCCAGGAGCCTGTAGCTTCTTGTTCCTAGCAAGGCCAGGAGCCCCTGCCAGGAGCCCCTAGTGGCATTCTTGCTCCTAACATACACCTTCGCATAGCAAGCATAGCATCGAACTAAGGAAAACATTTTGTCGTTGCACTTCGTTTCACAAACTGAGTCTATGTTTTTGCCGCACGCACGAGTGCACTGACAGGCGCTGTTCACAGTCGAGGATTGGAAGCGTCGCCATTGCCTCAAACTCCGGCCACCGCTTTGGGGAGGGTGGGATTGTTACTACTAGCTTCTTGTTACTACTAGTAAGGCACTTGTTACTA